ATGACGCAGAGAAGAAGCCCGGAAGAGAGTTTTCCTCGCGCAGAGCGAAGACCTAGGAGGGGCACGAAACCCCGCCCCCGCCTTCCCATTGGATAAACCGCCAAGCAAGGCCACGCCCCTCGGTTGAAGGAGTACATTGCTCATCTGGCCTCCAGGGGGCGCGTTGGGGATTTCATAGCGTGTGAACTAATGCTAAATTCTAATTCTAAATTTCAGATGAATTTCTTTCTCTTCTTCCTTCCTTCGTTCCTTCCCTCCCTCTTTCCTTTCTTCCTTCCCTCTTTTTCTTTCCCTTCTTCTTTCTTCCTTCTCTACCTGTTTCTTTTCTTGCTTCCTTTGCTCTTTGGTTCCATCCTTCCTTGTCTCTTTCCTTCCTTCCTTCCCTCTTTCTTTCTTTCCTTCTCCTTCCTTCCCTCTTTCACTTTTTTATTTCATTCTCTCCCTCCTCCTCTCCTTCCTTCCTTCTCGACCTTTATTTCTTTCCTTCTTTATCTCCTCCCCTCCTTCTTTCCCTCCTTCTCTACCCTTCCTTCTTTCCTTCTTCCTCTTTCTCCTTCCTTTCTTTCTTCTCTACTTTTCTTTTTTTCCTTTCTTCTCCCCTTCCCTCCTTCTTTCCCTCCTTCTCTCTTTCCTTTCTTCCTTCTTTCTCTACCCTTCCTTCTCTCCTTCCCTCTTTCTCTCCCTCTTTCCTTCTCTACCCTTTCTTCTTTCCTTCCTTCTCTCCTTCCCTATTTCTCTCCCTCCTTCTCTCCTTCCTTTCTTCTCTACTTTTCTTTTTTTCCTTTCTTCTCCCCTTCCCTCCTTCTTCTCTTCTTTCTTTTTTTCCTTCCTTCTCCCCTTCCCCTCCTTCTTTCCCTCCTTCTCTCCTTCCTTTCTTCTCTACTCTTCTTTTTTCCTTCCTTCTCTCCCTCCCCTCCTTCTTTCCCTCCTTTCCTTCCTTTCTTCCTTCCTTCTCTACCCTTCCTTCTTTCCTTCCTTCTCTCCTTCCCTCTTTCTCTCCCTCCTTCTCTCCTTCCTTTCTTCTCTACTTTTCTTTTTTTCCTTCCTTCTCCCCTCCCCTCCTTCTTTCCCTCCTTCTCTCTTTCCTTTCTTCCTTCTTTCTCTACCCTTCCTTCTCTCCTTCCCTCTTTCTCTCCCTCTTTCCTTCTCTACCCTTTCTTCTTTCCTTCCTTCTCTCCTTCCCTCTTTCTCTCCCTCCTTCTCTCCTTCCTTTCTTCTCTACTTTTCTTTTTTTCCTTTCTTCTCCCCTTCCCTCCTTCTTTCCCTCCTCTCCTTCCTTTCTTCCTTCCTTCCTTCTCTACCCTTCCTTCTCTCCTTCCTTCTCTCCTTCCCTCTTTCTCTCCCTCTTTCCTTCTCTACCCTTTCTTCTTTCCTTCCTTCTCTCCTTCCCTCTTTCTCTCCCTCCTTCTCTCCTTCCTTTCTTCTCTACTTTTCTTTTTTTCCTTTCTTCTCCCCTTCCCTCCTTCTTTCCCTCCTCTCCTTCCTTTCTTCCTTCCTTCCTTCTCTACCCTTCCTTCTCTCCTTCCTTCTCTCCTTCCCTCTTTCTCTCCCTCCTTCTCTCCTTCCTTTCTTCTCTACTTTTCTTTTTTTCCTTCCTTCTCCCCTCCCCTCCTTCTTTCCCTCCTTCTCTCTTTCCTTTCTTCCTTCTTTCTCTACCCTTCCTTCTCTCCTTCCTTCTCTCCTTCCCTCTTTCTCTCCCTCTTTCCTTCTCTACCCTTTCTTCTTTCCTTCCTTCTCTCCTTCCCTCTTTCTCTCCCTCCTTCTCTCCTTCCTTTCTTCTCTACTTTTCTTTTTTTCCTTTCTTCTCCCCTTCCCTCCTTCTTTCCCTACTCTCCTTCCTTTCTTCCTTCCTTCTTTCTCTACCCTTCCTTCTCTCCTTCCTTCTCTCCTTCCCTCTTTCTCTCCCTCTTTCCTTCTCTACCCTTTCTTCTTTCTTTCTTTATCTCCTTCCCTCTTTCTCTCCCTCCTTTCTGTGTATGTTTTGTATGTGTATATGCATATATGTGTGTATATATGTGTGTTTGTGTGTGTGTGTGTGTGTGTGTGTGTGTGTGTACATGCACGATGGAGGACCTTCTTGCGGCAACAACAGAGGCACTCCCAAGTGGCCAGATACTGGTCAAAGGACATTTAACCAAATACCAAATTTGCAAAATCTGTGTGTTTTTTTCCTTTTTCTTTTTAATCTGTGTGTTTGTTTTGCTCTGTTAGAATTGTAACACAATGGTTGCTGATGACACGATAAATAAAAAAATGATTTGTTTTTGTTTTTTGGCTTTTTAAATCCCATCTGCTGTGTTTTTTAAGTATTTTTATGAGTGGTGGTCACTCGATGGCCTGAGAGGTGTCTTGTGTCCAAATTTGGTGTCAATTCGTCCAGTGGTTTTTGAGTTATATTAATCCCACAAACGAACATTGCATTTTTATTTAGATATATTATATTATTTATATTACATCTCTTAGTGCTGTGTTAATTATTAATGTAAAACAAACAAGTAATTACAAATTATTATGATTCGATTCGATTTTATAATTATACTACTTATAATTTATTATTTTACATTATTTCCATTAGATTTTATCATGTATTATATTATATAATGGAACAGTACCATATTATTTTTATTTATATCACATCTTTTCTGTTTATATTATTTCTTTTAGCATTATATTAAGTTTTGAGGCTTTTCTTGTGCATTATTCCTTATGCATTCAGACTCATTATGTCTATTAAATTTTATAACTAGATGAATTATAATTAAGTGTTTGTTTTACATTATTTTATAATGTCTTATTTATATTTATGTTTGTTTACATTACATTATTTATTTTAGCATTGTTGTTGTTGTTCATTCGTTCAGTCGTCTCCGACTCTTCGTGACCTCATGGACCAGCCCAGGCCAGAGCTCCCTGTCGGCTGTCACCACCCCCAGCTCCTTCAAGGTCAGTCCAGTCACTTCAAGGATGCCATCCATCCATCTTGCCCTTGGTCGGCCCCTCTTCCTTTTGCCTTCCACCAATTTTAGCATTATTATGTCTATATTATTTATTTGGACATTATATTAAGTCTTGGGGCTTTCCTTGTGCATTTTTCATACTCATTTATTTCTATCAATTTTATAATTATATTAGACTATTTATAATTCCATTATGTTATTTTATGTATATTGGATCATTTATATTTACATTATTCTCTCTCTCTATCTCTCTATCTATAATACACACACACACACACACACACTTATATATATTTAAACATATTTATTTTTGAGGGTTTTTCGGGCTATATGGTCATGTTCTAGAGGCACTCTCTCCTGACGTTTCGCCTGCATCTATGGCAAGCATCCTCAGAGGTAGTGAGGTCTGTTGGAACTAGGAAAATGGGTTTATATATCTGGAACGACCAGGGTGGGACAAAGGACTCTTGTCTGCTGGAGCTAGGTGTGAATGTTTCAACTGACCACCTTGATTAGCATTTGATGGCCTGGCAGTTTTTTGGTGTGGCTTGTTAGTGCCTGGGGCAATCTTTTGTTGAGAGGTGATTAGCTGTCCCTGATTGTTTCCTCTCTGTTGTTTTGCTGTTGTAGTTTTAGAGTTTTTAAAATACTGGTAGCCAGATTTTGATCATTTTCATGGTTTCCTCCTTTCTGTTGAAATTTCTGTGTTCTCAAATAATAGGCTGTGTCCAGGTTGAACCACCTAAACTGGGCTTTTTTTGGGTATGCCGTCGCTGCCTGGGGGCTATAGTTCTTAGTGAAAGAAACATGGACGTGACATCTTTTCCCCAGGGGATTGCTTCTCGCCTTCCTTTAGAGAACTGGAACTCTCAAGGATCAAGACATTGTAGATAACTCAAAATAGGCTTTATTGTTCACAATGAGTTATCTTTCTTAGGGATAAACTTGATGGGTTGTTGTAGGTTTTTCCGGGTTATATGGCCATGTTCTAGAGGCATTTTCTCCTGACGTTTCGCCTTATAGGGCTTGTTCTCCAGACCCTTGGTCCTTTGAGTCTCCCTCCTCTGGAAACAGTCCTGAAAGTAGACCTAACCCTTACGGTCTTTTAAGGGAACCATTGTGATGTGCCAAATCAATCTCCTTGAAGTGCGCCTTGCAATCGTTCCCTCCTTTACCAGCTTCAGTGTCAAAATTGGCCGGAGTGTTGGGAACGTGGAAACATGCCCCATGATCCTTCGTCACCTGGGAAGGCCAGGTAGGAGGGCGAATAGTAGGAAACCACTGTCATTTCAGGACGCGCCGAAATAGCTGCCTGGAGCCTCGTCCTTGTGATCCGGTTCAGGGATCCCATGCTCAGTCTAAGAAGGAAAGAGATAGAAAAGAATGCAAGGGTCCAAAAGGAGATTCCAGATGAAAATTAGGAAGAACTTCTAAACAATCTAAACAATGGGGGAGCAGTAGTCCAAAAAGTAACTTTTCACAGCATTGCCCGATGCTATTGAGAGTCATGGGGTGCATCTACAAAGTAGAAGGAATGCAGTTTTGTCAGGTAGGAAAATGCTGTATTAGATAGAAATGCATGGCATGTACCTCCAATGTGTGGAAAAATACAGTTCTAATGAACATGTGTTCACTGTCTACTGAAGGGTGAAGACCAATAGAGATGTAGTCCTAGAGAGACAACTTAGTTATTTCCTCCCTGGAGGGAGAAATGGGGGTTGGCTTTTATGTGAACTTCCTCTTTGCCATGTGCTTCCTCTTTGATAGCTTGTCATGATCTCTGTGTCTGTAATCCATCACCATTCTCGTTCCGTGAGTCTCTTGCTAGCTTTGTGAGTATCTCTGTACACTGATAACAGACCTGGAAGTAGTTGCATGTAGCAACGACTAAAGAATCAACTTCCAAAGGAGTCTGGATGAAAGCCAGAGCTCAGGTGTGCTTATTGAAGTGGTGAGATACTAAACAAGGTCAGAGGCTGTGCTACAAAATCTCTGCTAACTGTGATCAGGACTCTGCAGTGTTTTGGA